AGCCTCCCGAGTAGCTGGGACTACAGGCATGCGCCACCACGCCTGGCTAATTTTTTCTATGTATTTTTAGTGGTCCAGCTAATTTCTTTCTATTTCTTTTAGTAGAGACGGGGTCTAGCTCTTGCTCAGGCTGGTCGAACTCCTGAGCTCAAATGATCCGCCCGCCTCGGCCTCTCAGAGTGCTAGAATTACAGGTGTGAGCCACTGCGCCTGGCCTCTTTCTTTTTTATTTCCTTTTTAACTAAACAGTATTAATAACTTGCTTACAAGTCCCAATTGTAAGATGGTACACTTAATGACTTCTAGCCATCTAATATCAAGGCTGTAGAATGTGACAGCTCACAGCTTGACCTCTGGACTCAGATGAACTTGCCTTGAATTCCTGCTCAGTACTCTTAGGTCGGGGCATTACACATAGTTTCAGTCTCCTCAGTTATAAACTGATGATGAAGATACTACCTACATCTCCAATGACTGTGAGGATTAAGGTATGATAGTTCATGGCAGAATGTCTGGCAACAGAAAGTACTCAATAACTGTTAGTTATTTTAATGGTATAACTAAAACAGCTAACTGTAGAGGATGGACATTTGCTATCAATGAACATTGGTACTGGTTCTAAAGATATTCTTAAAGAACTCAGTGATGGAAGACCAACTCAAAATCAAGCACTACGTTCCAAGGATATAAGATGTTCTTTAGAACATAAAGGTCCAGGTAAATTTGTTTACATATCACTAACTATATCCTTATACTTCAACAGAGCAATATTCTTGACAGCTCCAAATTAGAAAGGACCCAAATCTCCACCAACAGTAGAATGAAGAAACACTGTGGTATATTCACAAATGGAACAATATACACTAATGATAATGAAGTACAACTACATGAATAATATGGATTTCTCATAAGCCAAATGTTGAGCAAAATGCATCATATATAAAAAGTACATACTGACCGGTACCATTTATGTAAAGCTCAAAAACAGGCAGAACTAATCTATGGTCAGGACAGTGGCTACCTGCAGTGGCTGAACAATGATTGGAAAGGGGTTTGTGGCAGATTTCTGAGATGCTGATAGTGTTATTTTCTTGTTTTGGATGCTGGTTACATGTTATGTCCAATTTGTGAAAATTCACTGAGCTGTTCACTTCTTGGAGTGCTTATTATACCTCAATGAAAAGTTTAAAAATATACAAAAATCATGGCACAAACTTTAAATTGATAATTTTGTTTATTGCTTTTGTCTAAGAAAGTATTTAAGAAATTTAACATTAATTTAAAACATTTCTCTAATCTGAGATAAAACTGACGTTCTTTTTTAAAATAGTGGTACAAATACCTTAGTCAAGGGAGAGTACCGTGGAGACATACTATTTTTGAACATAAGCTCCAAAAGGGCAAATACTAAAGCTGTTTATTATGGTTTCCCTGGCATAGTACCTAACAAAGAATTAACTGAATTAACTAGGGATTAAATGATTTTTCACTCAAAAAATATTTAGTGTATTCTTACAACCTGCCAGTCATAATGCACAAAAAATGCTAGAGTACTTATTACAAGAAATTTTCACTGTTGAATGCTTAAAAGTGCTCCTACTGAGGAATTTTTTACACTTGATAATAGGCTACCTACAGGTTAATCTCAGTCTACTTTTCAATGAATTCACAACTACGAACGAGGAAACAGGATGTAAGGAGGACAGGTTCCATGAGTCACAGAGATCACCTCATGAAAGTATGACCAAAGTAATTTTCCTATGACTTTGCCTAACAAGCTTCACACCGAAAGTCATTTGTCTCAACTAATGTAGTCAAAAATGAATACATAGTCCAGTTAAAGATGAGTGGACTCCCACAGTAATTTGAGTCTACTTGCAAAATTTTCTTTTAAGGTAGAGAAGTAGAATGAGATTTGGGAAATACTTTTAACTACCATGGTGTGGGTAAAGGCTATCCAAACTTTATTATTTCTTTGTTAAAAATCCTTGAAATAATAAAAATTTTGAAAAACTTTTAAAAAGTTTATTTAATTATTGTGATATATTATTACATGTAAATGTCCAAGCAAACTATTATATTATACAGTTACAGTTTATTGGCCTATTTGGTAGCCATATTATAAATGTTCAAAATGCAAAGTTAAACTTCATTTCTGACTGAAACAGAATATAGAATAAATGAATGCTCAATTACCTGTGCTAATTGTGTACAAGAAAATATCCATCAATTATAGTATAGGTACATTTTAAAAGTAATTATATGTAGTTTTAAAAATACATGTTGGTAGTTTTTGGAGCTAATTTACCAAAGGAAGCATTCCTTAAATTAATGTGAAGACTAGCTTACATGCCCTAAGCTATGAATCTAGGCTCCTGGCCTGGAGGTGCGGGCAGCCCCGAGGTGAGTATGACTATCCCTGTCCTCAAGGAGCCTCAGTCTAGTAGGGGATGAGACATACTAGACTGTGAGCTCCTCGAGGGCAGGAAAAGTGTTTTAGTCATCTTTGCCCCAGTGACTAGCACCAGGCTCAGCTACTGGAGGTGCTCAACAGTGTTTGTCAAACTGAATTGAACATGGGCTGCAGTCACACGTGGCAGCGTAGGATAAGCCTGACAAGAGCAAAGAGCTCTGAAGACAGAGGGTGGAGCTAGTCTGCCGTTAAGTCCCAGAAGAGCCAGTGCATGAAGGAAGCCAATGAAGATGGGTAGGAGCTCCCAGATGGAGCAGTAGGCATCCTAGGCCAAGAGGGGGTTAGTCTGGCCAAAGTGTGTGAAAAGGATGGGAAAACACCCTCAGCCTATAATGGAAGGAGGCCTAAATGGCACCCTAGAAGCCTTTACCTAGACATAAGAGGTGACAGGAACCCACTGAAACTTGTTTTGAACAAGGGAGTTATTTTTCCATAGTGATGTTTCAGGAAGACTGACTAAGCCAGTTATGCCACACAGATGGGAGAGGAGCCTGGGCAGAGGAGGGAAAGGAATGAAGCATGACTCCCAGATAGCGATGAAGATAAAGGTGCCATTCTAACCTGCAGGAGGTGAGAAGAGCTGGTTTAACAGTTTGTGTTTTGGATAAACATGATGCCTAGCCAGTAACTTAAAATGTAGGTTTAGGACTCATCAGAAAAGGACAGGACCAAAGAAAAAGATAGAGGTGAGAAGCAAAGCCATGTGAATAGGTTAGACAATCCAGGAAAGGTACTGAGAGAACAGGAAAACAAAATAAGAGGCTAAGAACAGAAATTCGGTTAATACTTCTAATAATGGTGGAGAAACGCCAAGTCAGTGAGGTGAAGGAGATGTCAGGGAGAAAGTGTAACAGAACTGGTATCAGAAAGGGGAATAATTTTAAGGACAGGATCTATCAAATTCTGAGGAAAAGATCGAGGAGGAAAAAATTTATGAGCAAAACATGAAATAAAGCATGTTCGAAACCAGCTGTCATAGTGAAAGAATATGTAATTAAGTTATATGAGAAATTAAGAAACTGTAGATTTTTAGCTTGAAGAAAACTGATAGGAGATAAGGAAGCTGTCTAGAAATACCTGACCATGTGAAAGGCCATGTGAAAGGCAGAGTATAATTGTTTTATGGGCTTCTAGGAAGTGGAGTCAGGCAGAGCTACTGGGGCCAACAAATGTGGCTGATCTTTCAGAGTGTGGTACTCACTGTATTGTAAATAACAGTTGATGCCTGTGTCTCTGCCACCAGACTTTAAACTCTCTGGAGGCAGGGATTGTGCTGTTCGCTGTTGAACCCATAGAACCTAGCTTAGAACACTGAAGGTGCTTAGCAAGCATTCGCAGACTGAATGAATCTTCCACACTAGGGGTCTTCATTCTTCCGGGAGATACTCTCCTTATAAGGAATCTTGTCTAGCAGGTTGAGCTGCCTAAAGATGTGGTGAGAAGGTTAGGCCAGATGGGCTTTCAGGGTATTTTGGACCCTGATATTTGGTGAGTTTAATGAAAAAAAAACTAAAATGTAGCAAGTGAAAAAAAGAAAACCCACATAAAATAAAGGAAGTCCCTAAATGCGAAAACAGGTGATACAGCACACATTGAGCCATGTTGCTGTTTACATAATTAAGCTCCTCATACCTATGTACTACATTATAATATCTTGTTTATTAGAATACTAAGTCTCACTCTGAACCCTCATTCAATTCAATTCAACAAATGTTTATTGAGCACTTACATGGTGACAGGTCCTGAGCTTGGTACTGGGGCTATAGAAATGGGCAAGACAGTGATGCCGAACCGAGCAAGAGCTCTGAGTCTAGCCAGGGACACAGACAAGCAAACCAGACCCTCTCCAGGCCAGGTGACAGGGCAGACTGTGCACATTTCTCACAGGGATTCAGAACGCTAAAGGGTCCTGTGTGCTCCTTCCAGGAGAGGTTTGGGGGTCTAACAGTGCCTGGCACAAAGCAGGAGCCACGCTTAAACAAGCAATGAATGTTTAAACTCTAATAACAAAAGTATTCAAAAGGTGCCAAAAGAGTGGCTATCTCTTTGGAGGTCGGCTGATTAGGAAGGTTTTCTGAAGGAAGTAACATCTGAGCTAGATTCTGAAAACTGAATAGGAGTTTATCAGGTGGCAAAAGTGAGGAAAGGCATTTCAGGGAAAGAAAATAGCATAGTGAGTGTGTCAGGAGAATTATAAGTATTTAGGTATTGCTGGAGCATGAAGTGTCAGGGAGATGAAGGGGCTGTGTGAGATGAGATTGGAGAAGTAAGCAGGGACTACATTATTACAGGACTTATAAGCCATGTTCAGTCAGAAGCTAGGGGAGAGACATTTGATGATAATCAGAACTTTATTAAGATATAATTTACTTACAACTTTAGCAAGGCACAAAGAAATGCAAATCAACTTTAAACAAAAAATAGTTCAGCCTTAGACATACTGATGAAATGACTATAAGATGCTATTACTGCAAGGAGAAGCAGCATGATCTGCCCCCAACCCAGCCCTCTCTACCCCCACTCTTACCTGAGCTGAGCTTTAAGTTCAGTAAACCTGGGCCGCCTGCTGGGGTCATAAGCCCAGCATTTGGTCATAAGGCTGTAGAGGGTAGGAGGACAATTTGGAGGCATCGGTAATCTTTCCCCATTTTCAATTCGACCAATCACATCATTGTTCTTCACTCCTTGAAAAGGCTTCACACCATGCATCAGTATTTCCCACATACATACACCTGTGAAGTAGAAATAAAACATAACAGTGAACTCAGCATTGAAAGCGTAATTCCCAGGCTTCAGGAATAATGTTATAGTTGGCACTAGAGTACCAGCTGTGAAATTTTGGCCAAATCATCTAACCAAAGCAGCATTCAATTCATTCTATTATAAAATAAGGACAGCAATAATGATTTAATGTGAAAAATGAAATGTTGAATTATCATTGAGGAAAAAGTCATAATTTTTCTCAGAAGTTTATTTCCCTGAAAATCCTACATTAGAAAATGGCCCACCAGCCACAGTAATACTTCAAGGCTTAATGAACCAGTTCAAAATAAGCTGAATGTGGCCGGGCGCGGTGGCTCACGCCTGTAATCCTAGCTCTCCGGGAGGCCGAGGCGGGCGGATTGTTTGAGCTCAGGAGTTGGAAACCAGCCTGAGCAAGAGCGAGACCCCGTCTCTACTAAAATTAGAAAGAAATTAATTGGACAACTAAAAATATATAGAAAAAATTAGCTGGGCATGGTGGCACATGCCAGTAGTCCCAGCTACTTGGGAGGCTGAGGCAGAAGGATTGCTTGAGCCCAGGAGTTTGAGGTTGCTGTGAGCTGGGCTGACGCCATGGCACTCATTCTAGCCCGGGCAAAAGAGTAAGACTCTGTCTCAAAAAAAAAAAAAAAAGCTGAATGTGTCAGGTGCAGTGGCTCACATCTGTAATTCTTTGGGAGGCCCAGACAGGAAGACTGCTTGAGGTCAGGAGTTCGAGACCAGCCTGAACAACATAGAGAGACTTCATTTCTACAAAAAATAGAAAAATTAGCTGGGCGTGGTGGTGCACACCTGTAGTCCCAGCTACTCGGGAGGCTGAGGCAGGAGGATCTCAAGCCCAGGAGTTCCAGGTTGCAGTGAGCTGTGAGCACACCACTGCACTCCAGCCTGGGTGACGGAGTGAGACCATGTCTCAAAAAAAAAACTAAATGAATTTTAGATCCCCCTCTTGTCTTCACTCCAACTTATTTATAATTACAGCAGCTGACCTAAGGCCCAATAAAGAAAATCCTAAAATTTAAGTCTTAGGGTTTTAGAAAACTCAGTTCCCTTAAAATGCCTCTCTTAACAAGGTTGACCCGTCCTTGCCTAGGGTGCATAATGGCATGATTTTTATACGGTTTATCCAGGAATCAGTCACTGATTTCCCACAGGAAAGTTGTGGACTACTCTGGGCTGCAGAGATTTTCTCCACGAATGCCACAATGTGAGCTAAAAAATTCACCTGCATTCAACCCTTGGGAAATCAAACACTTTCTTAATATCTTCTAAATAATCCTTAAGAATTCACCTTTAAAACAAAAACTCCTAAAACTAACAATGATGACCATATAATGCAATGAAAAGGAAACAGAGAAAATAGACTGGCCGCAATGGTAGATGTTTCCCCCTAGCACTTTATAGTCACTACTCTACACTGTGGACACTCTGGGCTCCTGGCATCTTCTGAACATGCCACAAACATGCCTTTGTGTTACATTCTCTGTGTTTAATGCCTGTTTCTTCCTCACAAACGCTCTTCTTTGTAGGTACACTTGTAATGTAGTTCTCTATAACGCTTTTTCTGAGACTCCACCTGGAAAAGTTACTGTCATTTCAAATCTATTCTATCATAAAACATACACTGTACAACTGGTGCCTTGAGAGAAACTGTGACTTTATTTTTATATCTTTAGTACCTAGAATGGTATCTGCCTGAAAGGAGGGAAGGCATATTACCACCTTAATGTGAGTTAGCCAAAAATCCAAGAATTTCAAAGTAAAGAGTTTGACAAAAATAATGCCTTAGTGCTATTTTTCTCACCAGAAGTTATGACAATATTATGAGTAATAACACTGGGTATCGTTTCTTGAGAACTTAACATGTCCCTGGTACCCTTCTTTGAAATTTAGATATATTATCCTTAATTCTCAGAATAACCTTATTTTTCTTTAAATACAGATCCCCTAATTATTAAAAAAACAATATATGACACACACACAAAAAAAAAAACCCAGGGAGAATGCTGATAACTAAATTATGACACAGTCCTTTCTTACCCCTTAGAATTTTTACTTTATTCTTACCAAAAGAACTCTTTTAAACTCATGTGGACATCAAAGTAACAATAATACAGACAAAATAAGCAAAGTCCACATGAGAGCAGAGAAGGGAAACTGCATTAAAAAATGCCCAATTATCAACAGTTATTTTATTATTGTAAAATGCCCCTGATTTTAAGATACATCTTAGTTCTAGAAATGCTAAAATGTTTAAAAATAGGCATCTTAGAATCTTTGAAATATGAAATGTTGTTAAGAGGCTAAGTAACTTGCTCCACAGGTTACACAGCTAGTAATTGAAGCCTTGGGATTTGAAATCACATCAACTGGACTTCAGAGCCTTTTCTAATCATGTCATGCATATTCTGTTCTACTTGAAAGTTGTTTCCTTTACCTAATTATCGATTAGGGCACTACATGGCTATTAAGAATTAATAGCAAGTAAACATAAGAAAACAATAAGAATACTTGATAAATATATTTTTATTTACAGGAGAAAAAGGTACATGAGTTTAACAGGGCATCTCCTCTAAAGCAAAGATAACATGCACACAAGACTACAGGATCAACACGAGTGTTATGATGAAGACAGAAAATATAGAGAATGTAGAGAAAGAGCCTTTATGTCTGGTTGAGATACCTACTACATAAGGCTTCATGGAAGAGGGAACATTTACAGTGGATCTTGAAGGTTAGATAGGATTTCAGTTGGAGGAGAGGGTGTAAGGATAAGGCACTCCAGGTAGAAGGAACACCACCAGGAAAGGTGAGGGGTGAGGTGGAGGGGAGTGCCGTCCACGTTAAAAAGAGTAATTTTAAAATTTGGATAAAGTAGTTTGAATAAGTAATGTAGGACTAATTAAAGCTGGGCTTTTATCCCATCTGGGAGGTACTACAATAACCACAGAGCAAGAGGAGGATGATGACTATCTTGGAGTAGGCAGGAGGGACAGATCAGATATCAAAGAAGGAGAAGCCACAGAGGACGAAGGATCGAACTTCCAAGCCTTGAGACAAGTCGGGAAGGCAGTCAGATTCCAGAATGAAGAGATGAAATACGATTGTAAAGACTCTGGATTGGAGAGGCCGCCAGAGTCAGACAGATATGTTAACTGTTAAAGTCATTTACATTAAAGGAATGAATGAGATGGCAAAAGGAAAGAGAGGCGAGAAAGGAGGGAACACACAAGATATCTCCCCGTGAGGGAGAAAGAGACAGCAAAGGGAACGACAAGGAAGAGTGATGGAAGGAGCTGGCGCATTGAACAACGGACCGTTATAGAAGCCATGTCCAGAAGCTGAAGCACAGGAGATGCCAAAAACTATTTGCCAAGTGAACCAAAGAAGTCTGAGGAAGGAATTGGTCAGGTTAGGGAAGGTAAATCAACCTACATTTTCTGAAGAGATAATGTTACGTTAATTTTGTATAATATATAAAATATAAGTTTAAAAAAACACAAAACTTTAAGAAATACTCACCAAACATCCACACGTCACTAGCTGAGGTAAAACGTCGAAAATTGATTGACTCTGGAGCCATCCATTTAATAGGCAATTTTCCTTTGGAAGCTAGAAGATTAATTTTAGAAAATAAATTTTCCCTGTTCCCTGCTAAGAATCTAACAGAGCTAGACTGAGATTTTCAGTATTGAAATAAAATGCTTCAACCATTTGACCCCTTGGAATTCCCATTTCTTTGGGAGAACTACTTTTCATTTCCTTGATGTTTTGTGGTTATTTGGGGGTGAAGAGCGGTTAGATGAGAGTAGAGAAATAACGATGCCCTTCCCTCTATAGAGGGGTGGGGAGCAGGGAGGTGGAGCAAACCCAGGCTACCAGAAGTATTAGCTTGCAGCTCCATTACAGAAGGTTTCACAATTCAGCAGAGCAGATCCTCATCTATGGGTTAGAGCCCTTGCTCCACAAACGTTCTGCTAATAATAAATAGTGGATGGTTGATTCTCACTGGTAGTAGTTATGTTCTATAAAGTCATTGCAAACACAGAACCCCTGCTCCTAGGAGAAATCTGTAAACCATAACACAGATTTCACATAAATTACAATGTTAAATCCTAAAATAACCCACTCTGGTGGGTTCTTTTTTCTTTAGAAAATGTGTTAAGTAGTCATAACAACGTGGGCAGTAAAATATTAAAAAAAGAAAAAAGAAAATGTGTTAAGTAATTTGCCTGAGGCCACCCACTAACAGGAACCAGAGTTGGGATTCAAGCCCCCTCCAACTGGCTGGAGCCTAAGCTGCAGGCTCTGTGCTGCCCCCTCGCAACCTGGCTGAGACAGGAGGGAGAGTGCTGCCTTGTTGGACCTCAGCTGGGAATGGGCGTTTCAGGGACACTCAATTTTTTTGCTGCTCTGTACAGCACCTTGAGTACTGATTTGGGGGGTTAGAAACAAATTTTAGCCACTAGATGAATGCACAAATACAGACTACACGGATAATCGAGATTGACTGTATCTTTACCAGCATGTGGATAACAAGAAGGGATAATAGGATGAGAAAGATCATTTCTTTAGGGAAGCCTAAAATCAGCCCTCTTTGTAGGCCTAAAAAGTCATCTTTGTGCCACAAAGGCAAACAACTCACAACCTTAGTAAATATTCGTCTAACTGCTGAGTTCCCAAGGTGAACAATCAGTGCCTTTCATCAAAGAATTCTCATTCTAAAAGGTAGACACAGAAGTATACTCAAATCTGGTACAAAGTGTAATAGAGATATTGAATACAAGCCAAGTATCCCAGAAGTGGAGGGGAAACAGTGACTGAGAGGGTGGCCAGGGAAGGCTGCAGAGAGAGGACACATGAAAGTGGAAGGAGTGGGCTGGGGGCAGGGCACAGGAGTAGGCATCCTGGTTCACAGGGGCTTGGACAGGGGAAGCTGGGACTGGACTTTCTTCTATAAGCAATGAGCTGCCTCTGAAGACTATTAGAATTCTTAGAAAGAGGAACACTTTGAAGAATCCCTTAACCTTTAGCAGTTATTTTCCCATAGCCTAACAGAATTTACACTTGTTAACCTTTCTGAGATGATAGTTACGAGATATAGTATAAAATAAAAGAACTAGATTTATATGTAAAATTCTGGGCTCATTTTGCTGCAATACAAAAATCACACACACTAAGAAAAAACTGGCCTCTGTAAAATGGTAGTAATAATAGTACATATACTAATAACATGATATGGATTAATCCAAACCTTAGCTGAAATTCTACGAATATGAAAACATTAATAAAAATATTTGTTCAATAATAATATGGAGAAACAATTCAGTATGATTCCAAGATTAGCAAAAGTAAAAAAAATTCATGAGCTAGCTTTCAGTTAAAAAACTAATGGGTCAAAGTTGATGGAGTGAGCAGACTGGAGATTTTTCAAGTCAGACCCCTTTTACAGAGGCATCTGCTGTGAGATGACTGTGTCTACTGGTTGAAGAACATCTGGATTGATTCCAATTTTTGGGCTATTACAAATGAAATTGCAATTAACATTTTAGTACAGGTTTTGTGCAAACATAAGTTTTCATTTCTCTGGGACAAATGTCTAGGAATGGAACTGGTGGGTCATATGGTAGCTGCATGTTTAGTTTTTTAAGAATTTGCCAAATTCTTTTCCAGAATGGCATTACCATTTTACATTCCCACTAGCAATTTATGAGTAACTTAGCTTCTCTGCATCTTTGTCAGCATTTGGTATTATCACTGTTTTTTATACCAGTTCTGATAGGTGTGTAGTGAGTGTTACCTCGTGGTCTTAATTTGCATTTCCCTAGTAGATAAACACGTTGAACAACTACATTTTCACGTGCTTATGTGTCATTCACATAACCTCTTTAGTGAAATGTCTCTTTCTATCTTTTGCCCATTTTCTAACGGCATTCTTTTTTCCCCCATTGAATTTTGAGAGTTCTCTAGATACTAGTTCTTTGTCAGATATTTGGTTGGCATATTCTCCTACTCTGTAGCTTCTCTTTCATCCTTTCAACAGAGTCTTTTGCAGAATAAAAATTTCTAATTTTGATGAGGTTCAATTTATAATTTTTTTTTTCCTTTTATGGATCCTTGTTTTTGATGCCAAATAACAACCTTCTGCCTAGTCCTAGATTCCAAAGATTTACTCCTGTGTTTTTTTCCTTCAAGTTTTATGTTTTATAATTGAGTATAATCCTTTTGGAGTTAATATGAAGTGAAATCTAAAGTTCATTTCTTTTTTGCCTAGAGATATCTAACTGCTCCAGCACCATTATTGAAAAGGCTGTCCTGCCCCCACTGAAGTGATTTTACATCTCTGTAAAAAATCAGTTGAGCATATTAGAATATACCTCTTTTAGGAATACAAATACATTAAAGATTTTGAATCTATTTCTTAGTTACTGCTCTGATTTCTTACCTTTGTAATAAGTACTATCTTCCATATATCGGGATAATCCAAAGTCTCCTAATTTTACACAATCATTTGAGGACACCAGAACATTCCGAGCAGCAATGTCCCTGATAAAGAAGAATTTGAGACAATAAATCTTAACACAAGAAAAACAAACATAAACACATCTGTATTATATAAAGGCATACTGACAGACACTTTTGAAAGGCAGTTTATATATAATACAAACTGACTTATTACATGTTTTTTTCATATATAAATATATATATATTCTTTCTGGCAGATATTTACTCATTAATATGATTATTTTGAATGATGGCAAAATGTTTCTCAAATAATGAAAGTCCTTATTACTTTTCATAAACTCATATTACCAACTGTATTAACTGATAGTTATACACTACCACAGTCTGTAACCTTGCAATCACTAAAGAGATCTCATTAAATAAAAGTTATCTTCTCAACACTTGTAAAAGATTTTGTTAATGTGATTTTCTTTTTCTTTGTTTTAAGAGACATAGTTTTTGTTTATTTCTTTTTTTTTTTTTTTTTTTTGAGACAGAGACTTGCTCTGTTGCCCAGGCTAGAGTGCCATGGTGTCAGCAAAGCTCATTGTAACCTCAAACTCCTGGACTCAAGCAATCCTCCAGCCTTGGCCTCCGAGAGTGCTAGGATTACAAGTGTGAGCCACCATGCCCGGCCTATTTCCTATTTTTTAAATGTAGTTTAACACTGGCTAACAAAACACTAACTCTAATATAATATTTGGCAAATAAAGTGTAAGGGCTTTCACTTGCACTCAGAGACTTGGGCTGTAGATATTAATAGAAATTCTCGCCAACAGACATCACTTTTAAGACTGGTATCCTGGAAGGTCCTCGGGGTCATTTCGACATGTTCACTGCTCCAGTGCCAAGTACAGGCTCTCAATAGTATGTGTGTAAAACATAAATGACCCAAGGGTATCACAACATGTTTCAAACTCCATAAGTGGAAAAATCCTTTAATATGTGTATTAATATGTTATGGCAGTTCAGTCTCATAGAACATAACTACCCCTGCTTAGGAGGCAACTTAACAACTTTATGATTGTATCTTACCTGTGTACAAATCTTTTGCTCTCTAGATACGCAAGAGCCGTACTAAGCTGATAGGCATACAGGATCAAAGATGCTAGATCCAAACTGTATTTCCTTACTTGCAAAAATGACCTCAGCTTTTGGAACAGTGGCCAAGATAAAAAAGAAAAAGAATTAGTAACAGAGAATAGAAATCAGTAACAAAAAAGCTACATTCAATGACAATGCCAACCATTTCCAAACACCTTTTTAATAATAAGAAAATGGCACCAATTTTCCCTTAATAAAAGAAAGTGTAACAAATTAAACATTTTTAACTCTGGAATTACAGTTAATCATTCTTTATTTAAAATCCTATTTTAAAATTAAAATCTTTTGGACTATAGACAAATTCCTAAAAATATGTAGAAAGATGTATGTCAAGGGAAGGAATAAAAGCACACTATAAATTACTACTAAATAATAAAAGCTGGAGGACAAAAAGATCTGATTATTATTGAAATAAGCCTAATACACCTCCACTTCAAACCTTATTGTGTCTTTGGGAAGTTGTAAGGATAAAGTAATGAGGAGAAGGGAAAGACAGAAGGTATTCTCCCTCTCTTCCTCCTGCATGAAGTCTGGTATGCAAAAGGGCAAAACAGTCACATGTTGGGTATTTAGCCCATTGGCCTAACTAGTTCTGATCATCACTGACACTAATTCAGCTAAACGCTAACATGACAAAAAAAGGCAGATAAATTCAATACCCTAATTCTACAAATAAATGAAAGAGAAACATTTAGCAATAATTTTTAAGCCAGAAGAATTAGCAAACTCTCCAAAAGCAAAAGCAGAAAAATACTGTGAACAAAAAATACACAGAAATAATCCATTTGATTTGGAAATGTAGGGCAGAGGAAGAAGAAGAGATGTTTAGCTGATAAAAACAGTGCTGGCTGGCCCCCATCTGTCCAGCCTGGAGTGCCTGATTCAGCAGGCCCAATGTGGGGAATGAAAATTTGCATTTCTAACAAGGTTCCAGGTGATTGCTGATGGTGAGGTACTGATTAAAGAGTTTCTATATTCTGGAGAAAGTCAAAGAGAGCTATTCTGTAACATTTCTTTTTTTTTTTTTTGTCAAAGACACGGGGTCTTGCTCTGTTGCTCGGCACGATCATAGCTCACTGCAGTCTTGAACTCCTGGGCTCAAGTGATCCTCCCACCTCAGCCTCCTGGCTCACTGGGATTACAGGCATGAGCCACTGCACCCAGCTTTTCTAATTCACATTTTTAACACACTGACTAACACACTAGAAAAAAAATTTTTTTCCTTGGGGCCACAGTGTTTATGAAAACAGAATAAAAACTTCAAAAACAAAATGACACTCTCTAATTTAAAGAAAATTTATTATTTTTTATTGTTTTCTGGTGTGAGTTATATGCAACTTGAAAAACAGTTCACGTGGCTAAAGAGATGTGAGTCACATACGTCTCATGAGGCCCTGGGCTCAAAACTAGCGTGAGCTAAATACAACTCACATGGCAGTTAATGTGTTAAAAGAAACTATGAGTAATACCAGTTGGTCTAAAAGACATTGCAAAGTGAATTCTCAAAAAGATTAAGGAAATGTTTAGATTTACAGCATTTAGATTTAGATTTTCAGCATTAATTTACCCAAACTCCATTAACATTGCTTTTTTCATCCTCAAATCATGGGGCCAGCTCTTTAGGCAATGGCACCAGAGAGTAAAAAAGAACCACTTGGTCACGTGTTGCTACTAGTCCTGATATAACATTTGGTTGGGGAAAATACTGCTGCCAGTATTGTGTGAAGGAATTATTTGGGACTTTAATGAAGATATTTATACCAGTATTCTCTGAACCGAAACCATAACAACATATACTCTAGATCAGAATTTGCCTGAAAATCCAAGATATAAACTGTATACTACTTCCCTTTCTTAAACAAAAGATATCAAACACTGAGTGTAGACTTAATGATTATGAAGCATGAGACTACTGTTTAGTCATTGTGACCAGACAGAAGGTAAAATTTGGGGATCACAGTACCTCTCCGAGTGTGCACAGCTCCATGATTATCCAGACGGGGTTCTCTGTGATGACTCCAATCAGCTTCACAATATGAGGGTGGTCAAACTGACGCATTGTTACTAGGGAAGTAAGCTGTCCAGTTATTTTTTGGAAAACATCCAGTTTTTCTGAAGACTAGTTCAATTAAGACACAAGGTTGGCAATATGGGAACTTTAAACTCAATTCCATAAGTCAGTTCAGCTTACAAGTAGGCATAAATTGGCACAAAAAGGAAAATCCTGTCACTGGGGCACAAGATAACCATTGCAGTGAACTCATTAGCAATTTTTCAGGGGAAAATATATTGCGAATAAAGGGTAAAGAAAACCCTTTCTTTTTTCCTATGGATAAATTTGACCTTGGACTAACCTAGGTTTTCCTCTGGAAATCTGATAAAGTTTGAATGTGTAATTCATTTATTAGGCAACAATATGGCAAAAATCACTCTTGACTGATAAACTGCTGGAGGAGGAGGTGGAATGGGACTGTAAACACCTGGTAGGAAGCCATAGCTCGGAGCTTGAATGTGGAGACTATGATAAATGGGCCCATTCCTTGCAGGGCCCTGGAAGCCACACCATGGAGCTGTGACAAAGGATTTCTATCTTGGACAAAAGTGGTTCCTGTATTCACCACTGTGGCCTTGTCCCCTTGCACGTAACTGGTTGGTTTCAGAGTCCTAAAGACAATTAGTTCCTAATAGGAAAAAGTCCATTTTTTTTTTTTTTTTTTTT